TACGGCTTAGAGATCTCTAGTCAGATCGTTAAGCCATTTCCTAAAAGGCGGTGTTTAGTGGGTAAAAGTCTCTACATAACCACGCAGCCGGCTGCGTGGTATGCTATGAGCATTCACCGCCTCCCTCCCCCGCTTTCCGGAGGGTTGCCCATATTTGCTTCGGGCGCAAAAAAAAAAATCGGGGGCAATGACGTCATACTTTTCTTTTCTTTTTTCTCTTAAAATGTTACCTCCACACTAGGAATTTCTCCTGTATCGTGAATTACATACATAAAATTTACAAAGATTAACATCCAGATTCCAGACCCGGCACAATTATTTGTAGGCAATTGAAAATACGTGTTCCGTGTGGGATTTGAACCTGCGGCACTCAGCGCTGCAAGTCATTGCTAAGCCACCGCAACACGCTGCGTCTTATTGTGCTTTTTGGTAGTCGCTTTCAGCTAAATGCTGCGTTTTATATGGTAAGTATAGAGAACCGGAGATCATTTTTACCGGAAACGAGGCATTCCATCTTAGTCCTCAGGAGTGAATGAGACCACAGCATCCACTTACCATCAGGTGGACTATGTGCTGGTTTGTCATCCTTATTCTATACAAAAAATTATATCAACTCATACCACATTGAAATTAATTTAATAAATTCATATCTATAGTTTGTTATCAAAATAGGTTAAGTTTTGTAACCCTGTCACGCGAAGAAAATACTCCATATCGATAAGCATACGAACGAGTACTACACTGTAGAGAGATTAACCACTATAACATTTTACTGTTTTAAAGTTAATCTACAATTTTCACTGCTAAGTGCTAACATACTTTCTATGTATGTTTAGTACCGCAAATGTCTTCCATTTGTTCAGTGCTAGAAGTATCATGTTAAATCCTTTTTCTATTCTTCTCTTTTACCAGCCTGTCTACCATAAAAGAGAAGTTTTGCCCCCACGCTTATGAAAAATTGGAAATCTGAAAATTGCAATACGCAGATGTCTCTTACTTTTGACCTGGAAACTAGTGGTGATAGTGCTTGAGTGTGTGTGTTTGAGTGTCTAACGCCTGGTGTATTATATGAGATTGGATGTTCATATTTCTCCTGTATTCAAATAATATACTCTACATCATATTTCTTTTCTACCATCTTTTCCTTTTTTGCTTTCTTAACAATAATAGCCGCCGCCGTCTCATTCCCAAGAGAGTTTTAGAGTAATAAAATGTTTGTTTGCGACCGAGTACATGGTAATATCAGCACTTAAAACTGCAATTAACAATTTTATTAGTGCCAGAAGGGACTGCACCCAGGTTTCTCGCGTACTATGACATCCGCATAGCGGTATTCTATTTGCAACGAGCTTTTGCCTCTAAACTAACACGGGTCACCACCTTAACCTGTGTGAAATTAACATAGTAATAGGATCACCCATATTTGCAAAATAAAGAAATTCATTTATTCATTCATTCATTCATCACCGTCTCATCTGTCAAGCGTGGGGCTTATAGATGTTCTTCGGAACGGAAAAACGGAATACGCGCTAACTGTAATAACAGTCTTGTCTTGAAGACACGTTATACACATATTATAAAAGAAGTGCCTATGTCCAGTGGGCTATTGGTAGATAAATGGATCATATGTGATAGAAAGGATCACCAGGACCAGTTGATTTTCCATACAATAACTAAAACAGTTGAAAGAACGAAGAGAGAACTAGATAGAACCAGAACGTTATGTGAGAGCTTGGTCCTTCCCCGGTCGAGCGAACCCATTCGTGCTACAACTATACTACTAATATAACTGCAGCATGGCTCCACCAATAAAATATAATAGGATATAAAAAATATAAAATAGAATTAGGAGGGATGGTCACATTTTATTAAAAATTCTTATTTAGCGTAGAATCGTGAAGGTTTTACATACATAAATTGCACTTGGACAAACATCCAGACCATACTCGGAACAATTATTTCAGAGTCAAGCATTTCGGTTGCGGAAATCGTACATGTAAATGCTACAGTGTTACTGATATGAACTACGAGCTAAAAATCATGTAACTTTGATACACATGTTTCAGTAATGACCTCAATAATTATTTAAAAGATCTTCTCTTGTATCATTTCTTTCTTTATCTGCCTACTTGATGTTAATATTCGCCTCTTTCTAAATGTTGTTCTCAGTTACCACTGTATGATGTTAGTACATTTACATGCTACAGATATTTCTAGAAAAGGGTGACAAGCGAGCACACAGTCCACCTGATAGTAAGTGCATGCTATGGCCCGTAGACATTTACATTTATCCTCGATTAAGAATCAGAACGTAGATGCGTTTTCACCCCTGAGGGCTAAGATGGAATACCTCATGCCCAGTAAAGCTGCTATTTTACGCTGGTATTCTAGAATTTTCTTACGCATATCATAAAAATTATGTTACTTCTCTTGTTGTTATTATTAGTGATAAGGCTACACTGCGGATAAATATTAAGCTTGTCATGGATGGAATAATAGCTATAGAAACAGCATACCATATTATTACCGTAATTAACAAGAATGCGAAAACGTGTATTGCTCATAATGGGTAATAAACGTTTGTTGTCTTTTTATTATTGTATATCTTGGTTCTTTGTGAACCATGCCTTGTTTGATTTCTAACAGGAGATCTATATTCAGCAGTGGACTTGTGAAGGAAAGGCTGCAATGAATGAATTGGTGATGACTTGTTATATAGCATAGCATAGATTTTGTTATGTGGTAGAGCCACGCTACGGTCGGCTTTATCGGGAAATGGCCACGCTTCTTATAAAATAGCATAGCATAATCACAGAGTTTTCATACGTGGTAGAGCCATGCTGCAGTTATATTAGGAGTATAATTGTAGCACGAAGGGGTCGGCTCGACTGGGAAAAGACCACGCTCTCACAGAATACCAGCGTGAAATTGCAGCTTTATGCTGTAAGCTGTGTTTCGTATGGTTAGTGTGGAGAACCGGAGACAGTTTTTTCTTATTTTGATTTTCAACCTATTTTATACGTGGTAGAGCCATATATGCAGTATATTAGAAGTATAGTTGTAGCACGAATGGGTCCGCTCGACCGATGAAGGATCACGCTCTCACAGAATACCATCGTAAATGCTGCTGTGTTTCGTATGGTGAATGTAGAGAACCGGAGACCCTTTTTACTGGAAACGAGGCATTCCATTTTAGTCCTCACGGGTGACAACGCATCTATTTGTAATCGAAGATAGATGTAGATGTCTGTGGGCCACAGCAACCACTTACCATTACGTGGACTGTGTGTTCGTTTGTCACCCTATATATATCTTTTATAGTGCTGCTGTATTTCGCATGGTATGGACGTGAACCGGAGATCCTTTTTACTTTTAACGAGACATTCCGTGTTAGTTCTCAGGGGTTTGTGGCTTATCTGTAACCTTTACATTCTATACAAAAAAAAAGAGACAGACCTGATAAACTTATTTTTTGTTTTTTCTATGAATAATATGGGTCGTTATTATTTTTTTATAGAATAAGGGTGACAAACGAGAACACAGTCCATCTGATGGTAAGTGGATGCTGTGGTCCATAGACATCTACATTTATCCTCGATTAAGAATCAAAGCGCAGATTGTTGCAGAGTGTAGCGTTGTCACCCCTAAGGACTAAACTAGAACGCTTAGTTTCCAGTAAAAAAGGGTCTCCGGATCTCTACACTCACCATACGAAGCTGCTATTTTACGTTGGTATTCTGTGAAAGCGTGCTCCTTCCCCGGTCGAGCCGACCCATTCGTGCTACAACCATAATATAGCTGCAGCGTGGCTCTAACGCGAATGAAATGTGGTGCCTTCGAACTGAGGTTATGTCGCCAACACCTAATTTCGCTGTTTTGGTGGAAACTTAACCGCTGGCGAACTGTTCATGTATTAGTTCTTAAGTAATGACTTGAAATAGATTTTAATACGTAAAATTGATGTTATTTTACGTATTAAACGTCTGCGCAAGTAAATTATTAATAGGGACGAGCCCCGATGGTGATGTGAACCTCAGGATATTGTCTGCTTAATCGCCTTGAGATACTACCGTCATCGAATATCTGCTGACTCAAGCTGCTATTAATATATCCCAAAAACTTCGCAATGTAACGCATCAACATATTGTGAAAAACTTTTGAAACAAATTATTATAAATAGTATTATATAGTACTTGACATTGGCAAAAATACAAGCGTACGAGTTCATTAACAAATGAAAAATCACCTCATTTCTATGTAATCAAGTATGTTATAGTAGGAACGTGTTTTATTATCAAAGACGTTAGCTGGTACGCTGCAAATAGCTTTTTCATTTAGCAGTAATTAGCGTTATAAACCAGTACTGTGGGTTATTGTTAGTGCGTTGACGCTGTGGCTAGCGAGTTTAATCGCCACGCAGGTACGAGTAACTAGGACATAGCAAGTTGATACCTACTTGATAATATCAAATACTGGTGCGTAATGAGAATGCTTGCTGTTGTTTGCTGCTGTAAAACTTATCGACGTTATCATTTTTTTTTTTAATGATTGGCTTTCGTTTATTTGGACTAAAAAGGTTAGAATAGACCAAAAATAATTATCTGATAACGCAATGTCTATAAATTTTAGAAAAAGAACATTTGCTAAACAAAAACAGATTTTTCTTTTGCAGACATGATCGTTATTAGATCAATATGTATAATGTATATTAGCCGAGTAATAATATAAAACAATAATAATTTAAAAAGTATATAATATTATATAAGCGAAATACTACTGACTATAGGTACACCCCATTGGCATGAAATTTAGTATAGTTATTTCGCAATGTAAACCGCCTCACTAAGAACACATTTTATAGTTCCATTAAAAAATTCTTGATATTTTATATATTATCTTCTGTTTTCGTGTGTCAGCTAGTCACTACAAAAAAAAGTATTTTGGAAAGCTCTTTAAATAAATTTTAATACCTTACGAACTATTAAAAAATTATAACATACCTCAATAAATTAGGATGCATTTTCAACGTTTGAGTGCTCAAGACAGCCGTCACCGGTCTGGGCCAGAGCCCTCCAAAGGGACCGCACACAGTCCGACACACGTCCAGGCTCTCGAAGACCATAAAAGAAGAATTGGCTGCTGAGCTGTTTGTTGGCTGTGGATGCTCCGATCTCTGGCAGCCTTCCTCCGGCTCGCACTTGTATACCCATGATGGTCTGATGATAATAAAACAACGTAAAATGAGTTTAGAATGTCACAGAGAGGAGAATGACGATTGGTAAAGAAGTGCCGAAGAAAAAGCCAAAAATATTTCATGGTTTATTATTATGATTAATGACAGAATTAATAGAGTCGTGGTAACGAATAAGCACTCGCCTTAAAATTTTATAGTAAACTGTGGAAACTTTATTTTTAAATGTAAGATTAATATGGGTTATGTATTAGACTAAAATTAAGTATGTTCCCCTTGAAAATAATACATAACATAAACACTCACGCCTGTCACCCAGAGGGGTAGGCAGAGACTACGGACTTCCATTTGGCACGATCCTGATATACCTCTTTCGCCTCCTTTACATCCATATATCTACGCATACATGCTCATCGGTTAAGGGTACTTCTAACGTGGCCCATTTTCAAAATATCGCCAATTTGGTCGATAAACTTTTTTCTAGGGCGTCCCTTCCCGACTCGGGCGTTCACATCTGCCATATAAATTTGCTTTGTCACTCTTTCCTCATTCATTCTTTCTACATGACCAAATCACCGAAGCATTCCTTTCTTAATCCTGGTCACAACATCATCTTGAATACCACATTTATCTCTTATCACGCAATTTCTCACCCTGTCATTCAGATTCAACCCTAGCGTATTCCTTAAAGACCGCATTTCTATAGCATTTATTCTACTTTCGTGCTTCTTCTGCCACGCCCAGCTTTCACTACCATACATTAAAGTAGGGACTAACACAGCATTATGAATTACCATACGTGCCTTTTTTGACATATTCTGGTTCTTCATAATAGAGTGTAGTGCCCCATTCACTCTATTCCCTGCATTTACTCGTCGTTCTATATCCCTATCATATCTACCATCCCTGCTAAATACACATCCCAAATACACAAACTCATCCACTTGCTCAATTAACTCTCCTTCTATTCTTATTTCACATACCGTTTTCTTCTCTTTCAAAAACCATCATTTTCATCTTACTTGCGTTCACTTTCATTCCCCCTTCTTTTAATTCCCAGTTCATTAATGTAACCATCATTTGCAACTCAGTCGCCGATGACGCAAATATGACTTGATCATCGGCATACAAAAGGCATTTAACGTTAACTCGCCCATTCTTAACCCACATTCTTCATCTTTCAAAGTTTGCAAACACCTGTCATAAATAGGTTGAACAGCCAAGGGGAAGCTGCACAGCCCTGTCTTACACCTTTTTGGATGCCAAACCAGTCCGAGTAGACCCCATTGATCCTGACACAAGCACTAGAGTCCATATAAAGAGACCTTAATGCCTGTATCAAACCAGCGCTCAACCCATATGAGTTCAGTGTTTGCCATAACACATTCCTGTCCACTCTGTCATAAGCCTTTTCCAAGTCCATGAACGCACAAAAAACATTTCTAATTTTTGGCCAAAAATTTCTCCGCAATCATGCGCATGGAAAAGACTTGATCTGTGTGACACCCCATTCCCTTTCTAAAACCCGCTTGCACATCCCAAATTTTTCCATCAGTTTCTTTCATAACTCTTTCAATTAACACCTTAGCATACAGTTTACCCACAATACTAAGCAAGCTGATACCACGGTAGTTTTTGCAGTCCTGCTGTGACCCTTTTCCTTTATATATTGGTACTATAACTGCTTTACACCAGTCATCCGGTACCCGTTTTAATTCCCAACATAAATTAAACAAGGTGTACAGCAGGCCTGCCACCACTCCCTCTCCAGCCCTTAGCATCTCGAGTGATACTCTATCATATCCAGCTGCCTTACCTGCTTTCATTCTTTTCATTGCTTTCATTATTTCATCTACACTTATCTCCATACCCCTTTTTTGAAAATAAAATAAATAAAATAAAATATAAGGTACACGAGCAAACCGAGTTCTACGCCAAGCATATATTTTTTATAGAATTGAAGTGACCAATGAATTTGCAGTCCACCTAGTGGTAGAGCAACGTTGCAGCACTATTATGTTTGTGGCACGAATGGGTCGGCTCGATCGGGAGGACTACGCTCTTACAGAACACAAACGATAAATAGCAGCTTAATGCCGCTATGTTTCGTACGAGTAGGGTGAGTGTAGAGAACCGGAGAGCCTTTTTACTGGAAGTGAGGCATTCCATCCTAGTCCTCAGGGGTGACAACGTACCTGCATTTTGATTCTTAATTAAGGATAAATGTAAATGTTGTCGATGGACATCTGCAGTCAACTTCAGATAAAAGGCAACATATGTGTTGTCACATGTGAGAACCACGATGGAACGCCTTTTTGCATGTAATTATACTGACTTTCTTTGACTACTGGAATATTTGCTGAAAAGTAAAAATATTTCTAGGTCATGCGGAGCCTGTCCTTCAAAATTTGTTCATAAACGAAGTTTCCCTTTCCTTTGTCCGGCAGTAAGGCAAATGTTGCCGAATGTAAGGCGTACATTACACGCTCATGCAGGCGTCAATCAATTCCAACAATCATGATTGATAAAAAGCGGATAGGCGTACATTACGCGCTCATGCAGGCGTCAATCACTGCATTACACGGTAGGTTATTCGTCAATCACAACCGTGATCGTTGTAATCGCACTTAAAGCCATTGTCCTAATCCTGCGTCTGATCTCTCTCCGAACAGTACAGTAATAAGCGGATTTAGTTTAAATTAAAATTTAGTTTGAATGTTATCTCAGAATTTCTATTGATTCCCAGCTTACTCCCAACATATTGATAAACTAGTTTCGAAATTAAGTTCTTCAATCGTCGCTGTTAAAAGTATTAGGAAATTGACTAATGAGACCAGAGCCAAATTAATCTATTTTGATAAAGATATTAAAATTTAATTCGCAACCATCCGCTTAATTAAATACAATGATGTGTCTAACCTGGATTGAAGAGCACCTCCCGCCCTGCCTCAATTGCGTGCACTAAACCGCTAAAACGGTCAGCTGCCGTAAAGTCTACATCACCTGAGGATGCCTCGTGTAGAGGCGAAACACGTGTTGTATTATCGTCGATGGTGTGTCCGTCCTGGAATAGTGGTGTTGGGAGTAGTGGTGCTTGGGACTAGTGGTAACGGGATTAGTACACGAAATTGAGGGAGGGCGGGAGGTGCTCTTCAATCCAGGTTAGACACATCATTGTATTTTATTAAGCGGATGGTTGCGAATTAAATTTTAATATCTTTATTATAATGAATTTCCGCAAAGTAACGCCTGATTCTGTCAATAATCTATTTTGGTTATTTCCACGGTGTCAAGTCCTACGGTGTGTGAATCTGTATGAATCTGCAGTTCGATTGGAAACAATACATTTTGTAAAGTAATGTCCTCCAGACCGAACTTCGGTCACAGCGGCCAGCATCAACGGACACTAGCCTTCGGCGCAGGACAGGATTATAGTGTCCAATTGTATGCGCAAGCAATAGAGAGTGCACATGACACTCTCTATTCCCTCACTCTCATAATCCGACGGGACGGTAAACCGACACGACCGAAGAGAAGATCAGGCGTAGGACCAACGGCTTTACGTGCTTTTCGAAGAACTGGGGTGAGACATCGCCAACTTCCAGACTCGGGGATTTCTTGACGGAAAAACTCAATACCTAATTGATTTTTTGGCCCGACCCGGGATTCGAACCCAGGACCTCGTGATCAGCAGTGGTACTATAACCACTAGACTAACGAGGCAGTCATTTTTGCCTAAACTTGTGGCATCGCGAGTCGCTAGGTGACCTTTTCAAGGAGACAAATATTCTTGACAATTTCGTCGTTGTTTATTCTTGAGAACAAGCAGATAAATCTAATATTAATATTAATAAGTTTTGACTTTGACTTTGACTTTAATGTATTCATCGAGTTTATAGCTGCTCTACAAACGTGGTCAAGAGACGTTTAAACGCTGTAAATTGCTTTAGAGAGTAACATTCATAAAATTATTTATTGCCTGCCAGCTATTAATGTAGCGCGATAAATTATTAGTACTTACTAAAAATTATTTCACCTATTATTATCATTTTGTTATTCTTAAATATACATTAAAAATTTTAATGAGCTTTATTATTGATTTAGATGATGATGATGAAAACTGAAAATGCGAATGATAAAAAAAAATTATATTTAAATAATGACAAAGGAGTTGGATCTCTCCCAAAGAAGGTATTGTCGTAATCGGCATGTATAGGAGGCTTATTGCCGAATTCAGTACCAACAACCTGGCACTTTAGTTTCTACTCCCCGTTATTTAAGCAATCAATTTGAGGACTTTTATGCCTAAGGTTGCCACCTTTTTGAACAAATATAGTATTTTTCCAAAAAAAGATGCAAAAATATAGTACTTTTGATAAATTCAGGCGAAAAAGAGGTACACGTTTATTTTTAGTCTTTATTTATGTTTCCATATATTATATTTGTTATTGCATACAGTTAAAATAATTATAGGATATAATATAGGTACCTTCTACCTTACCTCTAAAATAATTATAGTAGTCTGAGCCATTTAGTCTCATATTAAAATGAGTTGACGTCTAACTTGTAATTAAATGAATACAACATACTCTTTTTCTTTGTTCTTTCAATTACACAATTTCATGTCGGAAAAAATTCTTTCCATAAAACTTTCTTTTTTCAGACTTCCAATCATAGTTAATATAAAAAAGCGCGACAGTTGTATTAAGGATAAAAATATAGTATTTTCCTACTATATTATTTTACTATAATATATAGTACAATTGACTTATATACGATACTATATTTTGTATTACAAGTGGCAACCCTATTTACGCCGAAAGTTCGATTTTCATAAAACCTAAAAGACGGTAAAAAGAAAAAGTTACTAAGTAAGCTATCTGTTTTATTTGCGTAAAATAATGAGCATTAAAAATAATAAAAATGAAATAAAAATCACCGCATATCGTAATACTTCAATTTTCAAATTCATTTACTTGTGAATACAGTGAGTTAGATGTAAAATTTTCCAGTAGATGTCACGTATTCCCATAGTGTGGTGTACAAATTTATTTACAGATAGAAAGGTAAAGATTTATATAGACTTACTCATATAAATCTGGAGTAGGATCAACGGAGTTTCCTTCATTGCCTTGCGCCAAGTGCACCAGAACGACGATGAGTGCCCACTGCCAGTCCATCCTCACCTACAAAAAATTAAAACGGTTATAGAATATGTAAATGGATAGTTCTTCATTTTCTTCAACCGGTAAAAGTCAAGCTGGCATGGGCCTCACACTTTTTCGCGAGGATTTGCTATAATCACCAATCTTGGTTCGGCGGATTTGCGATCACAACAGCATAGGTTTCGCACATTTGACGCTGCCGTTCATCTTTCGGTCAGTGGTGGTTGTCTACTGTCTCCCATAGAAGCCATGAGCCCTTTTTGACATTTTCAAAAAACGTTGAATAAAACTATTTGACGTTTCGGGTGCTTTACAGCACCCATGGTCAGGGGGGAACTGAGATGTTTGACGTCCCAATGTTAATTTAACCACGGCTATCTTCACTGTCTGAATATTAAGTTTTGGTTAGATCTACATACACTACGAATAATATTCAAAAATTAAAGGCAGCCGGGTTAACTATGACATTATGACATTGGGACGTCAAACATCTAAGCCCCCCCCTCCGTGACCATGGGTGCTGCAAAGAAACGTCGGGAATTAAAAAATAAGTTAATTAAACGCTATAAAATCCGTATAAAGTTTTATTCAATGTATATCCGCGTAAATTTCCTACGTGGTAGAGCCATGTTGCAACTATATTAGTAGTATAGTTGTAGCACGACCACGCTCTCACAGAATACCAGCGTAAAATAGTAGCTAAACGCTGCTGTGTATCGTATGGTGAGTGTAGACAACCGGGGAAACCCGTTTTACTGAAAAGGGGCATTCCGTCTTAGTTCTCACGGATGACAACGCATGTGCATTTTGATTCGTAATCGAGGATAGATGTAGATGTCTATGGGCCGCAGCATCCACTTACCATCAGGTGGACTGTGTGCTCGTTTGTCACCCTTATCCTAAAAGAAATCATTATTTCCAATAATCTTTTACGACACCTAAAATTAATGGGGCAATGTACTTTCTAACGCCAGCATCTCACCGTCGAGTACTTGAGTCTATTATTCTATCTAGTAGAATTATTAATAAATAATACCATACTAGAACTTTCTATTTTTGGCTTAACACTTTTTTTTAGCTAAATTAAATTGTATATAAAGATGATTATTTGACGACAAAAACTACGAGTGTAACGTCAATAAACTATATTATATTATTTTTATACAATTTCACCTAGAAATGTTAGTCTTGACAGTTTTTAAAAGATTAGAGGATTGCTCTAAGCAAATACCAAATACGCACGCGAAAGTGTATTCTCGTAGTAGGTATTTTTTACATAATATAATGTATATAATGTTTTTACATGGTAGAGTCACGCTGCAGCTATATTATGATTTTCGAATGGATCAGCTATACCAGGGTAGGACCACACTATCACAGAATACCAGCGTGAAATAGCAGCTTAAGAGCCGATCCTCATTATAATGCCGTTCACAGTTTGTTCTCATCATCATCGTCATCACAGCCCTTCACAAGTCCACTGCTGAAAATAGGCCTCCCCCAAGAAATGCCACAAAGCACGGTCCTGAGCCACCTGTATCCATCGACTTCCTGCATATCTTACCAGGTCGTCACTCCATCTAGTGGGGGGTCGCCCTACACTACACCTACCGGTACGAGGCTGACACTCGAGAACCTTTCTTCCCCATCGGTTATCGGTTCTTCGAGCTATATGTCCGGCCCATTGCCACTTCAGCTTACTAATCCGTTGGGCTATGTCGGTCACTCTGGTTTTACTGCGGATATCCTCATTTCTGAGTCTATCACGCAGAGAAACTCCGAGCATAGCCCTCTCCATAGCTCGCTGAGCGACCTTGAGCGTCCTCATACGGCCAGCAGTGAAGGACCACGTCTCTGATCCGTAAGTCATCACTGGCAACACGCACTGGTTGTACACTTTAGTTTTCAGAGATTGAGGTATACCTGACGAGAAGATGTGTCGTAATTTCCCGAACGCTGCCCAGCCGAGTTGAATCCGTCGATTGACCTCTCGGTCGAAGTTGGACTTACCTAGTCGGACTATTTGTCCCAGGTAAACGTACTCGTCAATAACTTCGAGCATAGTGCTCCCAACAACTACCGGCATAGGTGTGACATGGACATTAAACATGATCTTTGTTTTGTCCATGTTCATCTTAAGACCTATCCGTTGGGAGGCACTATTGAGGTCATTGAGCATAGTGCTTAAGTCCTCCAGCGATTCTGCCATAAGGACTATATCGTCGGCAAATCGAAGGTGAGTGATGTACTCGCCATTGATGTTAATACCGTATCCTTTCCAGTCCAGTAGCTTGAAAACGTCTTCCAAAGCAGCGGTGAAGATTTTCGGGGATATAACGTCACCCTGTCTTACACCTCTCTGCTGTTGGATAGGTTTCGAGCTCTGGTTCTGTACTCGGATAGCCATCGTAGCCCTACTGTACAAACACTTCAGCACTTCGATATACCGACAGTCAACTTGGCACCGCTGAAGGGACTGCAGCACCGCCCAAATTTCGACGGAATCAAAGGCTTTCTCATAGTCCACATACGCCAGGCAATGTGGCAAATTGTACTCTTCAGTCTTCTGTACAATCTGCCGCAGGGTATGTATGTGGTCTATGGTACTGAAGCCTTTTCGGAAACCGGCTTGTTCGGGAGGCTGGAAGTCGTCGAGTCTGCGTGAGAGACGATTCGTAATGACTCTCGAAAACAGCACGTAGACGCGGCTCAGAAGGGAAATCGGTCTGTAGTTCTTCAAGAGAGCGTTGTCGCCTTTCTTAAAGAACAAGACCACCGCACTTCTGCTCCACGCCTCTGGAGTAGTGCCACCATGGAGGACGGAATTGAAGAGCTTCTGAAAGACTTCAAGTACCGGTGTTCCACCTGCTTTCAGAAGCTCCGCTGTAATTCCATCCTCGCCTGGGGCCCTGCCGTTTTTAAGGTGCTGGAGAGCCATTCTAATCTCGCTTAGACTGACGTCCGGGATATCATCGGAATAGTGTCGGATAAGACTTGCTCTTGGATCGTTACTCACACTTGCGTGTGGCTCCAACGATGATGTGTACAGCTGCCCATAGAACCTCTCAATCTCACTCAAAATCTCAGGTGCCCCGGAAACGATGCTGCCACACTCAGTCTTCGTTCAGTCAGTTCATTCTCGGTCTGATAAAATATCATCAATTAAAAAATACGTGTGTGCATTTTTACTCTCCGTAACAGTCAAGTTTCGCTTGAATCCCATACCAATAATATAATAAATCAGAGCTAAATCAGACCGAGAACGAACTGTGAAAGGCAAATGAGGATCGACCCTAATTCTATGTTTCGGTTAGTGAGTGTAAAGAAACAGAGACCCTTATTACTTGAAACGGAACATTTTATTTTAGTCGATACTTTTTTCGATTCTTAATCGAGGATAAATGTGAATGTCGAAGGGCCACAGCGTTCACTTACCATCAGCTAGACTGTGTGCTCGTTTGTCACCCTTATTTTATAGTAAAATAATTTTGTAATATGGTATTAGTATAATAGTATATTTTCGACATCTACTATCTTCGATGCTATCCTTGATTAAGAATAAGATGGAGTGCCTCGTTTTTTTGTTTTGCCTTGAACGAAAAGGGTCTCCGATTTTCCACACCCACCATACGAAACAGGTTAACTTTATTCTACGGTTTATGCTTGTATTCTATTAGATCTTATACCTTTCCCGGTCGAGCCAAACATAATCTAGCTAAAATATGACTTAATTACGTATAAAATGATACTTGAGGCGTATTGCCATCTCCGGCACGACAACAATATATAATGAAAATTAGCACATGACAAAAGATGACGTAGTCGTGCTCTGAAGTAATTTGTTACTGCTGTTTCGCATAATCCAACACGAGCATTTGTTTATATCTTACGTGTTGTTTCCGCGATTGTTCAGATCATCAGATGTAATGCGGTAATATCTTGTATTATTGTCAACCGCGTGATAGCGTCTTGGAGAATCCGTAATTATTTTTTCTATTGTGTCATAAGAATCTACTTAGGAAAAAAATTACTAGTAATGTTTGATAGTGGGGTAAAAAAAAGATGAACAAGTCGTATAGAATTAATCAAGTTTTAGTGAAAGCTGATTGACTTGACGAAGTTTTAATTGAACTTCTTTTAGTGTTCATGGTTTCCCAAGTGTATTAAGCGAAGTCGAGATAAACATATTTGCGCAAAAGTTCTAACTCACGAAAACTTTAAAAATATTGATGAGCTATCTAAAGAGTATTTAAAATAAAATCTCATAGACAAAATAAATAAAGATACGAATAGCAGCAACAATGCTTCATACACGATGTAATAGTTAATATATCTACGTTATCATTATCGATTTTCTCTTATTATTTATTAGTTGGAGTATCGTTTCGATCTTGCTTAAATATCTTGATTAGCGTGGATTGAATACTTCCGTCCGGTTACGCTTCAGTATGGTGGCTGATTTAGCCTCCATCTACAACAGCTACGATTATTAAAACAAATAAACTCTTTCACTTGCACCTCGTTATTGAAACTGTGGTGATTAAATCATTTTACCATATTGGAAAAAAATTGGAATGATACATAAATTTTCACAAACAATTTAATGTCTTTCCGCTAATGTTAAGTTAATTCTTACTCATCAATTTTAATGACACATCAAAAATAAAATTTGTTTTTGGTAATTCTGTTTAAAAATAACTAACCGGTTCAAGTAACATCTTTTATTTTTAAATCGTAAGCTTTATATTGGTCACCAGTAGACATTATTATCTATTAGTCATATACGGCCTTATTATTATCTATGATTATCGCTTACTTAAATTACGAGTAAGTATCTCTATACCTGTCTCTTTCTATTGTAATTTAATGAAGAGAATTTTATGCATTTCTTAAATCGACGTCGATTTGTAAGAGTAAAGCCTATTTTAAGCTAATATGGTTTTTGTGCAGCCATATGCGGTTGGTTAATTTAAGTGTATTCGAATAATTCATGGTCTATAGTACATATAGTAAGACTAATA